CCGGAGCTTCAGATGCAGCTGCTCATGTCGGTCCGTGAGGGCTCGCTGTCGGCCATGTTCAATAATCTTCCAGTAAACACTTTGCAAACAGCTCCTGTTACTCGACGCCTGCAGGGTCTCTGCTCATTTCTTCTGACAGCTCTGAAAGCCGATGAACATTTAACCATTATGCGTTGTAGTGTCTTGTGTTTTTATGGGGGTTCGCATTTAATATTTGTAATATTTCGTTTGGTTTTAGTTCTAAGAAGCTCGGATGCAGAACATTTAGGATGTCTTTATGGAGAAATTTAAGACTTTTTAAAGACCATTGTGAATTAAATTTAAGATCTGCATTGTGATAAATGTACAAAAGAAAAGAAAAATGCATTTATTACTGCTCTCTGGTTCCATGATCTACTCTTTTCCTTTTCGAAGCTGTATTTCCCTCCATAATAACAACTTTGTTAAAATAAAAATAATCTCTAGGTTAAACTGGTGCTTTACCACCATGTTTTAAATCCACTTAAACTCCAATTTCAGAGTTTTTGTTGCACCAAATGCTTCTCTTGGGTCAGTCCTAGTATCAGCAGCACTTTCTGGGGAGCTTTAGAACGCCAGGGGAGCAAAACTGATACATTTCTGGGGTCTGTTTGTGGCTTTTGGCAGCAGCTCTCTGCTTCTCACACTGCATATGGCTCTCTACAGCCTCGAGTCGAGTCGTTTTGAGCAGAATGTATGTAGCATCATACGGGTTCGCAACAGAAGTGAGTCAGTAGTGAAGACAGACATCATCCAGTCAATGAGTGATAAATTTGATCAATTAACCAAAAACAGGATTTCTGCAGGATTCACCAACTCAATTTAATACTTTTAAAGACCATTGTGATTGAAATTTAATACCTGTATCCTGACAAAAATGTGCAAAAGATGATAAATTAGCGATAAATTCACACTTACTCAAGTTGGATGTAAAAAAGCTAGCTAGCTGGCTAGCAAGGGTATAAGAACATGAAAGATTAAATACTCCTGCCACAACAAAATTTAAGACCTGTATTAAAGTATTTAAGGCGTAACTACATTTTCTAAATTAATTTAGAACTTTCTAAGACAACTATGAATGAAATTTAAGACTTCTGCAGTGACAGAAATGTACACAACACATAAATTGGTGATGACTTGGCACTTAACCGTGATTGATGTAAAAATGCTAGCTAGCTAATTAAGGGTATATTAGCAGCTAGTCAGCAGTAGCTGCAACTGCCTCAAGTCAAAGAAAGTAATTAAGATGTCTGCGTGCAACAGAATTTAAGACCTGTAATTAATATATTTAAGGTAAAATTACAGTTTTAAAATGAATTTAAGACATTTTAAGGCCTTAATTTTAGATGAACATATTTAAGACTTTTTAAAAAGACTTTTTAAAAATGCCCAGATGGACAGCTTCATCTTGGATTTGTGCCTCAGAACATAAATGTTGTAAAAAGTTGACATTTCAGTTGTAGTAAAGGATTTATTCTCTCTTTCTGCGCAGATGACGCTGAGAAAGTCTCAGTGATGTAAAATCTGTTGGCAGGAAATGTGAACTTCTGATTAGATCAACCTGACATGACTAAACAACAGTCCTAAAAACAGGAGGTGCTTTCCTTTCATCCTCTGGGAAAAATAGTTCCAGGTAAATGGTTTAGTGCTACCGTCCTAGCAGGGTAGATTCAGTGGAAAGGACAGTTGATAAATAATGGCTTCAGGAAACTACCAGCACTCCTCTTTTTTCCTTTTTTTGCTGAAAGCATCTGTATTTACTTGTTCTCTGGAATCAAGGACAAAAACAAAAGTACTAGTGTGCCAGCAGAGGGTGATAATGTTGACATTAATCACATTAAAGTTCAAAAGAAAAATCTGAGCATGGCTAAAGCAGTGCTAGGCTAAAGACTTTTCTGCAGAGTCAACAAAACAGGATAAATTTGGAAAATTATTTATGTGCTTTTGCTGAAACCGGTTTATAAGAACCCGAATCGATCGGAGTGAATGAAGCGTTTCTTTGGAGCGTCTTTGATCCGAGGATTAACCCAGATTCTTACAGCAGCAGTGTGTGTGGGAGTGAGGTTAAATAAACCACATCGTGTGCTCCTGGTGAGGAAGGAACATGCAACCCGGTTTAACCGGGTGACTCTCTGTTCAGGGCCAATATTCAGGCAGAAATCAGGTTTAATGGAAGATAAAACAACAAATGATTTACCTGCACTCAGCTCTTAATGTCATTAAATGATCAATGCTACTGCTTTAATGCTTTCATCATGGCAGCCTGTGTGACCGGTCAGGAAAACTGGAAACTGTGCCAGTTTCTTCCTGGCCTCCAGCCACAGAACCAGGCAAGTCTTATCCGCTCTAATGACTCCTCAGGATGTGTCGGTTGGATCGACACACCTTCTTTTCCCAAACACACACTCACTTAGAGGTTCACCTGGATCCCCGCCTGGCGCTCAGCCCTGCAGCGTGGCGCGCTCTCAGACTCGGGCAGCCGGTCCGCTTGGTGTGGCGCTGCTGGTGCTGCCTGATCTGTGGAGGAAACGGACAGGAAGGCTCATCTCTGCACACAGTCAGTGTGTGTGTGTGTGTGTGTGTGTGGATTAGACGGGTTACACGGTGGAGACAGCAGCAGAGGCAGGTTGGTTAGTCTCTGTTTTGGTTTGCTCAGGGAAACGGATGGAGGAAGTTTACTACAGCAGCAGCAGCGTTTGAAACAATAAACCGATCTGGGATGACTGCAAATGTTTTTCCACAATGTGGTTTTGCTTTAGAACCATGTTGGATACCAGTGTTAAACCAAGTGTGTTTCAGGTCTGAATAAATGGGGAAAATGAAAATAAAATGGACATTATTCCCAATATCCAACCAAACATTCCTCCTTTCTTCCGTCTGTCCGTATTTCGAGGTTGACCTTCGTGCTCATTTCAAGATAAAAGTTTGTATTTATATTCTGAAAATGCTACAAATTCTCTGGAAAGATGAATAATTCAGAAGAAGATTCTGATGTTGTTCGCCATCTTCTTCTCTTGTCTTGGCTAACTTCTGATAACCATTAGCTGAATGAGTTTTCTTCTATTAAAATGACAGAAATCTAAAATTATTATTTTTGCACAAAGAAAACTAATAACTGTGAAGATAAAGAAGATCCTTCTGTCTCTTGGTTTCTGTTACAAACTTTGGAATAATCTTTGACTTGGGTTTCATTTTGGGAATCATGTCAAATCCCTGGTTTGATTCCTGGTTTCTTGTGAAACGTCTCCAGCTTTACCTGTTTTCTCCCGTTCTGAGATAGAAATCTGAATCCATACTTTTGTTTTGTCTCGTCTGGATTATTGGAATGTGCTTCACAGACATCTAACCAAAACATCCCTAGAGCGGTTTACTCCTGACTAAATCCTCAAAAATGTGTCTTGTATTTACACTTCTAATCCACTGTGGCCTAGTCAAAGTCTGGATTTAAATCCTAGAATCCAATTGAGATGAAGCATTGTGACCTTACATGGATATTTCCTGCCTGAAAACCTTCATTTGGGGATGAATTAAAACATTTTTGCAAAGGAGAGTGGGCCAAAATCCGTCCGCAGGGTGTAAAAGATAATGACCAGTTATAATAAACGCTTGTTAGCGGTTGTTCCCACCAAGGGCGGCACAACCAGTTATTAGGTCTGGGCTCAGTTTTCATCATTTGAAACCTGCAATTTCTATTTACTCTGGTTATCTTTGTCTGATATTAAAATCTGGTGATCTAAAAATATTTACGTGATTATAGAGACGGTCCTGTCTGGTACGAAACTTTCAAAACTGTTGTCAAAGTTAAATTGGTTTTGTTTCCGTGCAACTGTAAAATGAAATTTATTAAGATTTATTTACAATTAGTTTCTTTGAAATGTGATTTCAGTGTATACACAAGTGCAGAAGAAACAGATTTGACTGTAAACCACTCACACTTTGAGGAGTTGACTCTGAACGACCACTAGTAGATCTTAAATCCAAAATAAATTGGCCAGTTTAAAACTAAATTTAAAAATGGCTTTATTTATTGTTATTGTTAAAGAGTAACAAAACCCCAAATAATTTTTTTTTTGCATTAAGCTATCTAAACTGGTATTTAGAAGGTGCTGTTTTTGTATTTCTGTACAAATTGTGACATTTTTGTGAAAATGTGTTTAATTCTGTGATATTTGGCTTTAAGTAGTCCCAGTGCTGCCCTCTATGGGTTGAATCTTGGCCTCTGCAGTGGAATTTTCCTATTGGTTACAAACGGTACAGCTTGATTCATGTCTACCTCACAGTCCCACGTTCTGGTACAAAGGCTCATTCAGACACACTGATAAAGTTTCTCAGCTTTACACGTGTGATTCATTTGCACATGGAGTGCAATGAGAAAAGTCTCCAGATTTTCCACTTTTTGAAAAAAACATTTGCTAGAAGTATCTTAAATTTTTTAAATATTCGAGATAAAAATGCTAAGTTGGTCACTCTTGACCTGAACACATCCCCTCTGTTCATCCCCACACTTGGCCACGCCCCTCAGCGTCTCTTGGCCACGCCCCTCAGCGTATCTTGGTCACGCCCACTTTCGGTGGGATTTTTCTAAATTTTGCTTTGGGCGTCGTTTTGCTTTCACAGGGAATTTAGTTACACTTTAAACTACAAATTTGAAGCTTTCACTTGTTTGTGTGTGTGAGAGAGAGAGAATTGGAGCAATCCTTGGCGCCCTCTGCTGGCCAGGAGGACCAAACAGTAGCTTACTAGCTTAAAAGCTAATCATACTTAGTTTAAAATGTCAAAAAGCTTTTGCTGCACAGAACAAAGCTTAGAAATTCAAGACAAGTTTATTCTCAAACCTCGGAAATAGTCTCTATCCTACTGAACACTTAAGTCTTTATTTTACTGTTTTGCTTTTGTTTGCTCATGTCCAAAAGTAGCTTTCCCTTTAGTTTAGCATAAAGATGGCAGCAGTGATGGCAGCAGAATCCCTCTCTTTGTTGCAGATGAGAACAATGTCGGATGAGGCAGAACAGAGAACGTGTGATGAGGATTTTGGTTCTGAGGAAGAGGAGGGCGAGGAAGGAGACGTGGAGTCCTACCTGGAGGACAACAGCAGCGAGCTCATGGACCGACTCCGAGAGCTGGAGGTGAGTTAATAAGACCTCTTATACACAGAACCAGATGAGGATGTTGGGGTTGGAGTCAGATGATCTGCTGTGGCGCCCCCTAGAGGGGATGAGAAAATTTTTACATTGGTATGTTTATAAATATTTTGGTTTTTCCTGACAAATCATGATCTTGTAGAGTTGGGTGACAGGGACTTAGTTTCACCATAATTTCTAGTATTATTGTGATAATGAAAGTGACAATAAATAAGAACAATTTTCTTGCTTCTTTTTTAAGACACCAGGCAGATAAAGAAGTATGATTTGTATAATTAAATCCTGTATCATAACTGCATTTAATCATATTTTCAAATTTATTGTTACTTTTATTGAACAAACTGGAAAAAAATTGTTAAATTAACAATTCGGACATTTTGGGTGGTTTAAAGTTAGTTGGAGTTTATTGTGACAACAATAAATCAAAATCTCTATCATGATAAATGATAATCGATACGATAAATGCCCACCGCCATCGTCTTGTCCTGTAGTTTTAGTGTTTCTCTATAAACATCTGACTTTCACCTGTTGCCCGTCTATTTGCAGGCGGAGAACTCTGCTCTGATGTTGGCGAATGAGAGCCAGAGGGAAGCTTATGAACGTTGCTTAGATGAGGTGAGTCCATGTCGGGAATGAATCGTTCAGAAAGCGCAGAGTAACTCTGTGATGATTTTCTGCTTCATTAACAGGTGGCCAATCATGTGGTCCAAGCTCTGCTTAATCAGAAGGTAATGCCAAACTTCAGTTTGTCTTGAATCTAAATCTGCCCTTTGACCCCTGGATTAAACAGAAAGTCGCTGTGATCCGACTCTGAGCAGGATCTGCGGGAGGAGTGCATCAAGCTGAAGATGTTGGTGTTTGACCTGGAGAGACAGAACCGCGCGCTCTGTGAGCTCTTCCAGCAGAAGCTGCCCAACCATCCCACCACTCACTACCAGGTAGCTCAGACCACAGCTCCACGCAACAACTTTCATGGAAAATGCAAAAGACAAACTTGAGATGTTTGTTGCAGGTATTTGAATTTGAACTGAAATGATCGCCTCTGTATTTCTGTACTAGATTTGATATCATTGTCAGGTATGGAAAATGCTCACCTGTCATTCCTGAATATCTATTAGTGCATAAAGTTATTACATTTTTACTTATTTCTATCCCAAAAAATATTTAAAATGAATGAAGTCAAGTCAGGACATTTCATCAGCAGGGCAGCTGAGAGTCCTTTACATCATAAAAAGATAGCACAGTCATCAATTCTGAAACAATCAATAAACATTACATTTAAAATACTGCAATCAGAATCATTATCAAATATACAACAAAAATAAAAAAACAAGTGCCTTTTTAGTCTTGATTTAAAGGAAGTCAGTGTTTCTGCAATTTTGCAGTTCTCTGGAAGTTTTTTCCAGGTTTATGGTGCGTAGAAGATGAATGCTACTTCTCCATGTTTGGTTCTGGTTCTTGAAGGTAAAGCAGAGCAGAACCAGAAGACCTGAGAGGTCTGGAAGGTTGATACAGCAGCAGCAAATGTATTTTAGTGCTAAGCCGTTCAGTACAGAATCATTTTAAGGTCTATTCTCTGATCTACAGGGATCCAGAGTAAGACCTCTAGCTGTCTGATTGACCTTTTAGGCACTGATGCAGTAATCAATGCAACTAAAGATAAACACATGAGTTTCTCTAGATCTTGCTGGGACATTAATTCTGTGAACCTGGAAATGTTCTTCAGGTGACAGAAGGCCGGCTTTATATCTGTCCTTATGTGGCTCTGAGGGTTCAGGTCAGAGTTCATCACTGCTCCCAGATTTCAGGCCTGATCTTTAGTTTGTATTTGTAATAACTGGAGCTGTGTGCTGACTCTGGATCGCTCCTCTTTAGGTCCAAAGTTAATAATGTAAGTTTTGTTTCTGTTTAGCTGGAGGAAGTTAAGGCACATCCTCACTTTGATTGGTTCTAAGCCTCTGGTGCTCGGACGGGTTTGGAGTGACATCGTAATGTAGAGCAGTGTATTATCATCATCTGTGTAGTTGTGGCAACTAATAGTATTTCTTGAGTGAGAAGTTTGTTAAATATTGTAAAATCACACACCATAAATCAGATGTAATCACCGATGAGTTGTCTGAATGTCTAAAGCTTTTTCCTTGACACAGTGATGAATCTGGGGCGAATCACCCGGGTCTCATTTTGTTCCTACAGTTACCAAACTGAACCGTCTCATTGTTTTGTGTGTATCTAATGGCCTGCGGGGCATGTGCTGTCTTCCTAATTGCCCCATGATTCTCCTGTTGCAGGTCCAGGCGGGACCCCTCCCAGACTACAATGCACAGCTGCACAATGACTCGGCCAAACAGGTGGAGCCGGCCCAGACTGAAGCACAAGCCAAGGTAACTATTAAAGAGCCAAGCATGTAGAGTTTTAACAGACACTGAGGAGAAAACGGTGGGTCCACAAACCCCACCTGTGGGCGTGTTGAATTCTGACCTTTGCTCTGTTTTTAGCTGAGGCTGCTAATCTCGTTCTCAGTCATTTCCTGTACGCATGCACTCAAAGGTCTTCATGAACTGAATTGTTCAATTTGTTTAGGTGTCCACACTGAATACACTTTTGATCTTAATCTCCTTCTTTCAAAAGGGAAATGGCTTCCACACACAACATGCCTCCCCGGGCCCCCGTGGCCCCGCCGCCTCCATGGAGGCCCTGTCTCCATTCTTCAAGAAGAAAGCGCACATCCTGGAAGTCCTGCGCAAAATGGAGGAGACGGACCCCCTGAAGTTCCACCCGTCCACCACGAGCTTGTCTTTCTGCGACTACAGCCAGGTGCTGATGTCAACAGAGGCTGTTCTTGCCACCGCAGACCCCCACCCGGTCCAGTGCAAGTCCCACCACACACACTGTCACTGCTCCTGCAGCGACGCTGACGCACACCAGCACGTCAACGGCGACGGCGCGGTGAAGTGTGAGGGAGCAAGCACGTGCTGTTTACACTGCAAAAGGAGTCCGGACAGCGCTCCGAAGCCATGCAACCATGTCTGTAGTCCATCAAAAGCCAGCTCCTCCACCCAGAGTCATGCTCCTGCAGCCACAACGAGCGAATGTCACAGTAAGACCCGAGCAGGAGAGTCCAAGCAATGTGCCGTCAACAAGGGCCACCAGCAGCCAGTAGGCACCTCCGCCCACTCAGTCACAGAGACAGCTCAGGCTCTGGAGGTGGCCAGAGTGGAACAGGACAGCTCTGAAAGTGGTGTGTCTGAGGAGCTGACTGGTTTCTGTGGCACCTCCAATCTGCCCAGTTCTGTAGAGGAGAGCGTACAGATCACTCACTGTAATGCGGATACAAGCAGCAGCATTCACAACGGCTTGGGGCATTCGTCCAGCACCGCGCTGATTGACCCCTCCACTATCCCCGAGAGAGACCTCACAGACCAGGAAGCTTCCTCAGTCCGAGCCGGTGCATCCGTCAGTCCGAGCCCTTCTTGTCTCAGTGATGTCAAAGCTGCGGCCATCAACTCCCCGTCCAAGCTGCTCAAGTTCTTGAAGATCCCGTCAATAGGGGACAAGGCCCAGCCACCAACCACGGCAGTTCGTCTGAGCCCACAGCTCACACGCAACTCCAGAATCCCATGTCGCACCAACAACTATGAGGTGTACCACTCTCCGGTTCCTTCCCGCAGAGCCACCACCACGGAGAGGTGCAAGCAGCCCCCACCCCCACCGTCCAGGTCCGAGTCCTACCCTGCTACGCACTCGGCACCGACCTCCCCTCCACAGCCTGAAGATGTCTGCTCTCTGCCTCCTAAGGAAATAAGCTACAGCAGTCTCTCTGCACCAAAAACTAGTGACAGCTCAAAGTTGGGAAATCCATCTGCTGCGTCCATGGGTTCACCCAGGGCTTCCCAAAAGGTCCCCCATTATGAAAATGTCTTGGAAATGTCCGCCAACAGAGAAGAAGAGCCAAGCCAGGGTCTTGAGAAAAGAAGCACTATTCCATCTCAAGCAAAGGCAAACGGTGGTGAGAGGAAGCTTGTTAAGTCTTTACCAGAAAGTGTCCTGAATCCTTCTCCTCAGCGAAAGCAGTCATCTTCGTCTACGTCGGAGTCGACGTCTGATGATGAAGAGGATTCAGACAGTCCAGTATGGGTCAACCATCACAGTTTACCCAACACAGCCGCCCTCAACAAAGCTCAGAGCCAAGCAAGCTACCCAAGAATAAGAGACAAACATGAGATGAACGTAAGGGAAGTCTCTCAGCCTCCGCCGCCTCCGGTCCGAAGAAGCGACTCCTCATCCATCCCCAAGAGGCCTAGCTCTGGTGCGGGTAGAACCCAGGCTGACTCCAGTCACCATGCTTTCAAAGACAGACTGGCGGCACTGGGCAAGCTAAGGAGTTCTGAGGATTTACAAATCAGGCCTGTTGACGCAGTGACTGAGGGCGCGCCTGGAGAGGAGAGAAGCAAGATGGCAGAGAGATCCTCAGAGGTCCATAAAGAGGAGCAGAGGCATTCAAAGTACCAAGACTCTTTAGATCGTAAACCTAAAAGTAGCAGTGTTGGTCTGACGTACCCGGGTCCATCTCAGATGTACGAACAGACCGGGAAATCTCAATCAGCAAAACAAGAACTGTGCGTTCCCAAACCTGAGGGCTCCAAGAGCAAAATTGGGTTACCGTCCCCCAACACAGATGCTCCCCAGGTTCTACGCAACAACATCAAGTGTCCTGGCTCCCTGAATCTGGCTTACAATGTCAAAAGTGGCCCCCAGAGTAGCAAGAGTCCTAACAAAATCCCCCCGAAGTCGCCTTCCAAACCTTGCCAAGGCGTATCTGTCCACCGGGGCGGAAAGCCTTCGGAAACGCCGCGTTACTCATCGAAGTCAGAGGAGAGGACAAAAATCAGCGGGAAAGGAAAGAAGAATCCAATGTATGGTGACAGCCTTCCACCTCCTCCTCCGAGACCCCCAACTGAGGCGGAGAAGCCGTTACAGCCGGCTCCCACTCCACAATCTGCTATTGAGCAAAAAGTGATGAAGGGGATCGAGGAGAACGTCCTAAAGCTTCAGGAGCAGGACCGCGGGGGGCAGAGCAGTGAAGTCAAGCAGAAAGCCTCAAACGGCATCGCCAGCTGGTTCGGCCTGAAGAAGAGCAAGCTGCCCGCGCTGAGCCGCAAAACGGACGCCACCAAGGCAAAAGACGAGAAGAAGGAGTGGAAGATAAACATCCCCTCAGTGGGCAGAGACTCCAAAATGGCCAGTAGATGCAAAGAAGGCGTGGAAGGTCTGAACATCTCGACTCTGATGGAGAAGGCTGAGGGCCTGAGGAGGGCCCTGGAGGAGGAGAGGGCCTACGTGGAGAGGTCCGGCAGGGGCCACTCCTGTGAGGTGGTGATGGACCAAGCTCAGGGACAGCTGGCTGTGATGTACAGAGGGGGGCGCTCTGACAACTTCATGCAACAGCTGCTTAACAGGTGAGGTTCAGAACAGGACCTCAGAAACGAGGCTCAGCAGTCTGGGGAATGGCCTTTGTTATCGTCTCACTGGGAAAAAAGCAACTTTCCAAAGTCCACCACCTCCAGCCTTTATGTTGTGGTCACCTCTAGACTCACGCAGCTTAAACCAGATATTTACATTCACTGAATAAAAAGACATATACTCATTTTTTTCTCACCATCTGAAGTTATACCTCTCTTGTTTTAGGTCCATAAGAATTACCCAAATTATTTCTATTTCCTAAATCCCAGAAAACTTTGCAAGAACATTTTGTAGAAAGCGTTAACCCAAGTCATACAGTCTAAAAGACAGTTATGCTTCATACCAAACAAATGTATGTAAAACTTTTGATTTCAAGAAAAGTTACAAAAATATCTCTAAAAAATTATCTCAACTGGTTTTCTGGCATTTTGCAAATAGAAATAATTTGAGTAGTTCTAACGGACCTAAAACAAGACAAATTTAACTTCACAATGAGAAAAAAATGTTTGTCTTTTTATCTGGTGCATGTAAAAGTCTGGTTCCTGTTGTATCTCTGTACGGTTCCTAGCTCAGGTTTCTGTGTGGACATTAAAAACGTTCATGCAGCTCCATCAGGTTCCTGCCGTTTTAAAAGAGCAGACATTTCACAGCGTTTCACATGCATCATATTTTAATCCACCATCACATTTGCATTAGGCAGTTATTTACATAGACGGCTGCAGTTATTCACACTGGAGACAGTGTTGGTCTGTGGTCCATTATAATAACCCAACATGAGTTTAAAACTGGGTTAGTCTTTAAAATAACTCAGTGAGCAAAATGGAAACAGAGTATCTACATCTTCAATTTGACGGCTGATTAAAAGCAAATAACCGAAATCTAGTAACAGTAAAGTTTTGGGGTCTTAATGAATGCAATCGATGTGTGGAAACTGTAATAATTACTGAGGTCTTCCTCCTTCTGCGAATCCCTGAGGTAGATCATAAAATGTTTTGCAGCCTTTTATCTAACTGTGGGTTTCAGAATGCAGAAATATACGTGTAGCCTCTGAAAAGCTCTGCTAACTTCATTTTGTGGTTGATGAATGTAGAGTGGATGGGAAGGAAGTGATCAGTCTGCCGCAGCGCCGCCTCTCGTTCGACTGTAAGACCTCCAAGCCGGTTTTCACTCAGCAGACCAGCGTCATCAGTCACACCACCAGTCATGACGACATGGAGAAGGTTCCTTTATTCTTCATTTTTAGCTTAGACTGACACTTGGTAAAAATAAGCATCCAGAACTTTGATCACATCATCAAAATGAAAACCTGTTTACATGATTTCAGCTTTAAAGTCCATATTCGGCCTTAGATTCGTGCGGTTTGTCTCTCAGGTGTTCACGGCTTTCTTGGTTCTTGTTTTCTTCATGCAGGGATCAGACAGAATCAGCAAGATCACATCAGATGAAAACCTTGCAGATTCAGTTCACTCTCAGCACTTTGCAGGTAAGAGGCATGTGCAGGAGTTTCAAGGTGTTTTTTCAAATGTTTATGACGTCTGTGATGATTTCACTTCATCTTCCAGCTCATTAGCATCAAATTCTTATCAGCAGCAGGATTTCAAAATGATCGTGTAAGCAATGTGTCCATTTCAAAGAAAGAATCACACAAACTGAACTGGACACGTCAGACCCTGAATACGAAGCTTTTTTCAAATTAAAACTTTCTTTCAATTTTAAGATGTTTATTCTGGGAAAAAAAATCGCATCTGCTTTCTGCTAGTAATTTGCTAATATTCTGGTAATATAACAAACATTATTGCAGCGTTGCTCATCGTATAACTCTCAAAGGATTTCAAAAAGTGGCTTTTATTCCAGTCATTCCTTCTGTGAGTTGTATGATAGTTTTAGGGCAATAAAGCTGCAATGAAGTCACAATACCAGCAGAAATAAAGAGGCAATCTTATCCGAAAAATGTCTTAAAATACAGGGGAACAGTTGTTTTAATGAGAGAAAAGCTTCTAGTGTTATTGAGATCTGACTTCACTGTCTGGTTTAAAACCAGCTGACCAAATGGGCTGGAGCTCAGGTTGGGTTGCTAGGCGACAGGCTGAGTTCCGCTGGGGTTGCTAGGTAACAGCCTGGCTTTAGCTGGGGTGAAGGGTCAGTGCCTGTTGATTTGTTATGTTATATTCAGGAGGTTTTTAGAAACGACTCATTTTCCAGACACTGAAAAACATACATTTATTGCTTAATTTTAATCTCTTGATTTTTTTTTATTAGCTGTAGAATCCCAAGTAGAAGTATAAAAATGTGAAAAATTTTGAATTTTGCTTAATACTTCCAAATTAATGGTTGAATTGCAGATCCAAGAGGGAATTTAAACACTTTCTAGTGGTAAAGTGTGACCCTAAAGCATTCCCAAACCTGAAGTGTTTTGCTTCCTCTTTGCTCCTCAGGTTCCGGTGCTTCCACCTACACCCTGGACAGCGGCATCGGCACGTTCCCTCTTCCCGACTGCAGCAGCGGAGCCGCGGGTCGGGGCCCGTCCAAGGGGCGGGCGGGGGCCGAGCATCACTCCGCCGGGTCCCCGGGTCGGTCCGGGCGGCGGGCCCGAACCCTGGACCGGGAGCTGACATCGCAGGAGGAATGCTTCACGTCGCACAAGCAGTTGATTCCCACCATCCAGTACTGCTCCATGCTGGAGGGGAGGAGCTCCGCCGGAGTCATACGTGAAGGTGCCAGAAAAAAAAAATCTTCATCTTAGCTCAGGGATGTTCAAAGTGTGGTCCGGGGGATATTTGTGGGCCTCGGAATAATTTTGTGTGGCCCCTGACTGCAGTTCAATAATGTTTTAAGATGATTTTTAAACAGAAAATGTTAAGTACAACACAGGGATTTTTTTCTTTCTATTAGTGCTTTTTTAAATTTTATTTTATATTAAGTCAAGCCACAAGCATCCAGTGACGTTTTACTCAGAAACTTGGATAAACCCATTCATTATACTTGACTTTACACAAGTTTTTTAAACAAAAATTCTCATTTTATAAACATTTTTACACAAAAATAGATGGTCCAAAAAATTTAAAAACTGCAAACATGAAGACAAATTTTATACTACACTGCAAAAACACAAAATCTAACCAAGTCTCATTTATCTTAGCAAGACAAATGATCTAGTTTCAAGTAAAAAATCCTTTCTATTGATTTTAAAAAGTACTAGATCCGTTGGCAGATTATTTCACTTATTTTTCCCACTTTCTAAGTAAAATAATCTGCCAGTGAAACTAATGCTTCTTTATAACATTAAGAAAATATTGACTTAAAACAGGCTTCTGAAAAGTTATTGTTAGTTTTGTCTCATTTCAAGTGTGCTGAGATATTTACACTAGAAACTAGACTAGAAATACTTGATAAGATTTTGTTTTATCAAAAATATTACTATTAATAATATTTTTTTGTGCAGGTAAAAGATAATATTAGTTTTGTGTTTTTGATTGGAGGGGAAAAGTTTATTTTTTTTTCCTCTTGAAGACTTTCAACCTGTAGGACTTTTTGCACTTGGTGCAAAAAGTTTGGGTAACACTTTATTTGATGGGTGTGCATAAAACTGACAAGACACTGTCATAAACATGAAACAACATCTGTCACAAACATGAAGGAGTCTTTATGAATGATGTCATGAAGTGTCATTCAGTAAATAATGACTTTTAATGCAAAGTTGCTTTAAAAGTTGCCTTGAAAGTCCATCAAAAGTGTCATTATTTACCGACTGACACTTCATGACAACATTCATAAAGACTCATTATTTACCGACTGACACTTCATGACAACATTCATAAAGACTCCTTCATGTTCAGGACAGATGTTATGCCATGTCATGCCAGCCTTATGCACGCCCCGTCAAATAAAGTTTACCAAAGTTTGGACACCCCTGCCTTTGTTTTTGTTGACCACATCAAAAGTTTTTAAGGTTTTAATTCATCTTATTTTCCATCTGCAGATAAAGAGGCACACGGAGCAAACGTGTTCTCTCCTCGCTCCAAGACTTGGACGTTCCCCAATCTGAAGACTCCAGCCGGACCTGCAGAGGTTTACCTGGCCGTGGAGGAAGAGGAGGAAGAGGAAGACGCAGTAACATTCGGATCCCCGTTCAGAGGGGTGAGCTATCCTTCATGAAACAAAAAGAAGTTTGAATAAATTTGCAAAAGTTACGTACAAGTATATCTCAATAAATCAGAGCATCATGGAAATGTTATTCTGATCCATTAGAGGCTTTTATTTTAAGTCTGTTTTTCTTATTAAAATCAAAATGTCCATATTGCACTGCAAAAACACAAAATCTTACCATTTCTATTTTTGATCTAGTTTCTAGTCCAAATATCTTAACAGACTAGAAATAAGACAAAACTAACTGATAAGTAACTTTTCAGTAAGATATAGGAGCTTGTTTTAAGTAAATGATTCTTTCATTTTAGCTGATTTTCCATTACAAATGAGCACAAAACTTTAATGATGTTCCACTAATGTTGGTGATAAAAAATATGTTTCCATTTAATTGTGCTAATTTTGATACAGCTGATGGTAACGCAGCTGTTGATAGAAAAGTACTAGTTAAACTGAGAGATATTTAATTTATATGGAAAGATTCTTATGAGTGGAAAAAATCTGAAACTAGTATTTTTTTATTTCAATATTTTTCATATCTTTATTTATTTTCCCTACACAAGTCAAAAATACAAGAACAAACAAGTACAGAAATAGATAAACAATATTTAAATTACTGTCAATGGCAACAAAATATAGAGCAAAAAAGGTTTAGGTTGAAGCGTAAACTTATTACACTTTCACTTTATTGTACATAAAGTTTTACCAAAATCAAAGCAGCAGAATCCTTCCTGTATATTTTCCTAAAACATATCAAGACAAACTTATAATCAAACTTTATTATTGTATTTGTTTAGCAAATTATTTTTATGCATTTATTGTATTTAAAGAGTAAAAAACACAGTTCTAACTCCTCACAATTATTCCACAACCTCTAACTGAAGTATTAATATTAATTTGATTATTAAGTCTTAGGCAAAAAAAAAAAAAGCAGCTTTGTGTTGCGTTTTGCCGCTGTGTGAATAATCTATGTAACGCTAAAACACAGAACCACATTCTTCCCTTCTGAAATATTAATGACTTCAATATTAAAAATTCACAGCTGCAATCCACTTTTGTCTTCTGCACCTGATGCTGTTACATAAGCTGACCATAAAATGTTTTCTTTCAGAACATGAAAGCCGGCGGCCCGTCTTCCAGTCGAGTGGTGGACCCGGGCAGCCTGCCCGTCCCGGCCCAGTCCGGGTTGAGCCGGAGGGGGAAGACGCGCGCGCCCAGCGTCCCCGAGATGAGCCGGGAGGCGGGGCTTGAGCTGCTCAGGGAGCGGCCAGAGGAGGCGCTCTCCCCGAGTCGCCCTCAGGTCCTGGAAACCCCCGAGTCTCTGAGCGACTCGCTGTACGACAGTCTGTCATCCTGCGGCAGCCAAGGGTGATGGCAGAGGGGGCCGGCGGGGGGCAGAGGCCCCATCTGCTCACTCTGATAATACAACGGCGTATTGGGGCCATTGTAGATGGAGAAAATAAAAGGATAAGTTAATTTCCACCAAAAAAAAAAAAAAATCAAATTTTGAGATTAATCTCCGAAATTGTCTAGAATAAATTTGGAAATTTATGAGTTTTCTAGAAAATCTCAGAATTTTCAAAAAAAAAACAAAAAAAAACCGAACATTTTCTCAAATGTCCAAATTCTTTTCTAGAAATTTCCTGAGATTAATCTAAAAATGTATCTGTTTTGTCCGGCAAAGTTTTTGGCTGAAATGTACTCCTAATTTTTTTTGTTTTCTCTCTATTTGGCCTTGACACGCCGCCGTACTGATGCTGCTCACCTTAAAGAAGAAAAAAATCGTGCTTTTGCTGTCATCTGTCAGCTGTTGCAACTGGAAAAGACGGATCGATCTCTTCTCCTCAGGATTTCCAAAACACGTGAAGCCAAAATAATTTAGGTTGCTCACTTTTTCACAATCAGATTGAACTGTGGACACTTCTCTTGAATTGATGTATACAAGACTTAAAAAAAAAAAAAAACGCATGGCCAAGCTAAAGATCAGCACAAGAGGTTGTCACTCTTGTATGGAAGAGGATAAGGGCCACTGAGAAAAAAAAAAAAATTTTTCTCAGAATTCTAGAATTCTGACTTTTTTTCCTCTGAATTTTAACTTTAATCTTCAATTCTATAACTTTATCTTAAGTTCCAGAATTCTGTGAAAGTCTAGAATTCAGATTTCTTTTCTTAGAATTCTGACTTTTAAGTTCAACATTATGACTTTTCAAAGTCCAGATTTTTCTTTCTTTTTTTTTCCAGCAGCCCTAATCTTCTTCCATACTCCTGCTAGTCGCTCAGAACCGTTTTGTTTTTTCGTTCTCATTCTGGTAGAAAACTCTTCATCGTGAAATACTGTTCTTCTTCTTGACATCATTTCACCGTAGAGTGTTGAGAAAAGATTAAAAACAAAACTTGGAGCGTCTAGAAAATAATAATAATAAAAATAATAATAAAAAAACAAAAAATGTTCATGTCTGTGTTCTCTGGTTGCTTCTCATGCATCATCATGTTTTAATGTAAAAAATAATTTTATTGATCACGTTGGTATTTGTTTTCACAGCCAGGGACTTGTCTGTTTCTGAATCATAATGCATTTTAAAGGTAATATATGCCAGCAATAATAACATAGACGAGAGAAAAAAGGCTACATCATCTGATGAAAATGTATTTTTTATTATTTATTTATTTGAAATCATCTTTACGTGAAATCTGCAGTCCATTTGGCTGAGTAGATTCAGCTCTGATCTTTATGTTTCTCCATCTCCGCCGTTGGTTTCTTAGCAAATAGAAAATCCTTACTGCCGTTTTTCAACTTTCTAAATAAAAGTGTTTTGATTTAAGTTCGCTTCAAGTGTTTTTATTTTCCCCCAAAGTGCCGGATTCAGATTCAAGCTGGAAAGGCATCCAATGACATATTTCGCTTTATTTTCAATGTTCTCGAAAACGGAACAAAAAATATAGAATTTGTTTCCAGACTTCGTCCTCTGTGCCAGTTTACATCTGTCCATCATCTGTTTGTTCCCATAAAATGCATAATTACATATTTTGAATACATATTTTAATATGGATTAATTTTTACATTGTTTTATTTAAAATGTGATATGTATTTGTTCATGTACCTAATTCATAGTATATTCTACATTTAATTATCTTATGACTATAGTTTATGCTGCTTTTAGATGAATCAACTTGGAAAATTTGAACTCCATGAAATTGTTTTAAATATTTAAAATTTAAATTCTTGTGTAGTTGGATTACAGCTGAATATTTCCTCTGTGATCCAGATTTTTCTGCGGAGGAACAAACTTATTCTGAATTTATCATTTGTGTGGGTAATTGTAGCAGTAATGGCCGCCGACCAACGATCTTTAACCTGTCAGCGCCAAACTATTTCCAGTTCACTTTGTAACAAGTTTGGTTTTTCTAGGCTGCAACCCAGTTTGTGAGGAAACCCACAAACATTTGTTATTCTGTTATAAATGTTCAGCTTTTCAACCAGAAGACTGAATTTACTTCACATTCTGCAAACATTTCTTTTCTCTGTTCGTTCAAGAACCTTTGACCTCACACTCAGTTTCTCATCTGGATCAGAGTTTCACACATTTTTCTGCACAAACAGATTAAATAATAATTGAGGAAAAACAGGAAGTGTTAATCTGTTCAACACATTTATTGAGCAAATGTATCAAATTAGTAGTTTTCGTTATACATCAACAAAAATTGTTCACAGTTTACACTTAAAGAAAAAAATAATTTTGCACTGCTGCCAAATTGCCTGGTTAACATTGTTATTTGGCAGAATAAGGGTTTAACAGCAGATTTTAGGGAAATTTACAAGAGGCGGGTTCCAGATGAAAGACCTGTCGCTGTTAAATGAGCTGGGGGAAAATAAAAGAGAAAAAGGACAGATGGGACAGTCTCCTTCCCCAGCATGTCTAAATTTATAAACCAGTCTGTCCAGTGACTTTTAGTCAGTCTGGATGGGTTTAATGGGATTAGTTTTTTCTGACAGGTTCTGTTATTTCTTACACAAAACAGGGAAAAACAGAAAGGAAAAAAAAAACTAAAAAAGGTTATTTTCTCTAAATCATGGGACACTAATCTTACATTTCACCACTGTGAACTGAGGAAAACTATAAATAAGCAATCAAACAGAAATTAAACAGTATTCAGCTTCTGAATCTTACATGAGTCTTAAAAGTGAGTCTATTGTCTTAATTTATGGCACTAAATAACAGTAATAGAAACTTCAAGCGCTGCTCAGAATCGGGGCCTGTTAGGCAACACCCCCCTCTACAGGCCGAGCCTGATCACTGCAGTGTTGTGTTCTCCACAGCCAACATGGAACTACCATCAGGGTACCACAAACTTACATTCAACCCTTGTAAGTTTCAAAAATAAGTCAATCAAAAAAACAAAAACATAAGACCACATAAGAGTTAGATTGAGAAAAGGAGAAAGTAAAAAAAAAAAAAAAAAAAGCACCAAGTGCATCGCAAATTGTGCCTTTTCTGATTTTAATGTTTGACAACCGATTCCATCAGGTTTTACTTCTTTTCTTTCTTCTTGTCCTAAAAAAATAAACAAAAGAAATAAATTAGTATAACTACAGAAGATTAGGGTCAGACTAATTTTTTGTTGTTGAAATTACAAGTCTTCATAAAATAAAATAAAATCACAAAGTTAATATTAGCAGAATAATGATGCAACACAAGAAGGAAGTTGTAAAATTACTTTTAAAAAAAGCTGCAATAATGAGCACAAGGTTTTGATAATTAAGGATTTGTCGTGACCAGCTCATTAAATCCATTAGATTCATTCTTCAAAATCAAACGTGTCATTTTCACAAGTTTCAAAGTCCTGCTGCTAATAATTTTACAAAAGACTCTTGAAAAACTGATATAACTTCACAAGATGCTCAACATTCCTCACTTTATTTTATTTTTTCATGAAACTATTCATAAAACTTCTAAATTATTCTCCTAAGATTACAATTTTCTTCTGGTAATAAGACAACATAGAACTTTCTCTGGAAATATTCAGAATTTATTCTCACATTGTTACGATTTCTCATGACTTTTTGCCATACTATTTTCATTATTATAACTATGACTTAATTCTCTTATTATAAATTTATTCTGTTAATATGACTATTCTAATATAACTTTTCATATAATATTACAACTATTCTATTAGGACTTTTTGTTGTATGATTTATCGTATGACTGCTCTTGTAATACTCTGACTTTATTCACGTTTTATTACAACTTTATTCTCATAATATGACTTTCATCTTGTATTATTGTGACTTATCTTGACCTGTTATAACTTAATTTTCATTTTTTCCCATTAGCCTACAGCCCAAAGACTATGTTGACATAAAACTGTGTTTATAAATCTTTTTCAAGAGTTCTCATCAAAATTTACTTAAAAGAAACCAAAGAGAAATGTCCAATGTGAGGGTTTTATTACAGTTCAGCTGAAAGTTTTCTGTGGTTTATAAAATTTTTGTTGCCACCATAAACCAGGCTGTAACCAGAGAAGAAGAAACCAGCTGGAGACAGGAATCCACCCTGACCGATGATAACTGGCTCGAAACAAAAACCCTGGGTGCATGCTTTCTGACAACACTCTTCAGTGTGGAGGCGGCTACAGAGTGAAGAAAACTAGAAGTTAATCATTTTCAGTAGATGTGAGGTGTTTAAAAATTTGGAGGAAGCAGAAATGAAAGAATTTAAAAGGAGAATGCATTTTTCAGGCTGAGAAAGCTCAAGTTTTTAGAAGATAACAGAAAGTTGCAGTTGCTACATTTTAGCCTTTTCAGTTTTCAACCTCTGTCCTTCTGGAAACTGTCAAGGTAAAATTCAACAAGTTGTTACATTCCTGCTGTCGTTTGCAGTTTTTTTTCACTTCTTGTAAATAGTCTTTTTTTAATTACAAAAACACATTTTATTTTTATTACCCATCGTTAGCCATCAGTTTCATATTTCTTTGGATCAGAGTGTATCTAACAACAGTACTGTATTTTCCAAAGCCTTACTGTACAGTCTGTAATTCTTACCTCTTTTACATTTAAACCGGCAGCTGAGAGGAAAGAGGAACATCTTGAACCAGCTGCAAAAATCCCTTCTGATAGTTCCTTCAAGGAGAAACTGCTGGATTTTTAATAACTGCACAGTATTTTCTTACACTGTATATTTACTCTCACTGAACATTATATTACTCTGTTTTTATTCGTTTTAAATCTACATTCTGTATTGTCCATGCCTTGAAATTGGGCCTCTGCCTCTTTAAAAGCTCCTGCTCTTTCTGAAACTGCGCCTTCAGGAAGTCATCACTACACGGCTGCTCTATGAACCCTTTAACGAGGTTTTTGCCACTGTTACTCTGAGATGCAGCTCCCATAATGAGCTCAGCAGATACAGGGTTCCACCAGGTGTTTGCTAATTGCTACAGGCTAGTCTGAAGGAGCTGAGTGGGGGAATAACAGAGGAGGGCGGCTCTGAGGCGGAAGCTTGAAAACTTGAAGCTCTGAGGAAAAGGCGGGGCTAGGCTCACCCAGATGTTTTGCACAGCTGGATGGTTGCCATAGAGATTAACTCATTTCTCAAACATGCATGAAAGAATGTTTTTGATGAGGGAATAAAGTTCTAAAATGATGTAAAGCTGAAAAAAGTCAATTTTCCATGATACTGCCCCTTTAAATTTCCTGTCCATTTGCTGCTTTTACACCTGAATTTCCCCACTGAAGGACAATAAATATTATTTCTAGTCTAATAATACTTTAAAGGAAGTCAGATTATGCTATATTTGGGATACGCTCATTAGAGCATAACTATTTACAACTCTTGTGATATTTAGCCTGTAAAAAGTTAAGTCGTCTTGATGCAAAGAGGAACTGCTCAGTTTAGACAGCAGCTGTTAAACATAATTGTTTTATTATATTTTTAGGCTCTGGTGGCCTTTATTGAACAGTAAATTGACAGGAAATTTGGAAAAGAGAGAAGGGAAGAGACGCAGCCATTGATCTGAGACCAGGATTCGAATCCAGGAGTACCGCCTCTGCACATGGCGTGCGCGCTAACCGAGCCACCCAGCGACCTCTGACCTCTCATATTAATGAGTCATCAAGTCCTAGCAACAGCTCAGAACGTTGCAGCCATACCTGTTAACGTATATCTGCGGCCCCATCATCTTCTCTACACATCAGAGGTAGGTTGTGAAATCTCTGCACTCCCTCTCTTTCTCTACAAATATAAAACATTTGCCTCGGTCTTTACATTGTGAAGAAGCCTAACCAGCCACATCAGGGAACAAACTTTTAAGATTCTTAAGTGCTTGTATTTGTTCTTTGTTTTTTTAACAAACTGAAAATATTTTGAAATTTTGCAGGTTTTTTCTAATTTAAATACCTTATTTATATCATTATTTCAACTGAAGATGAACGAGATGTTTAACTTGTTTTAAATATGACTACCTTTAGATAAAAACAAGCTAATTTTTTGTGCAGTGGCAGCAGAAGTTGGTAAACCTCAGTAAATAAAACTGAAAGTATGTTTAAAGCTCTGTTTGGTGTTGGCTAAATGAAAAACGAAGAAAACGACTGAAAAATGTAAAAAGAAAAATCAAGGAAATTATGGACAACCCTGACCATCCTCTGCATGAATGTCTTCAGCCAGAGGCTTCTTCAAATTCACTGTGATACAGACTGCTACAGGAGATCCTTCCTGCCAACAATAACTCTTAGAACATTTTGAATTAAAATGAGTTACATTTCATTTCCCTTTGGTATCAAGAAAGTATTTTTGATTTTGAATGTGAAATGTGTTTCCTTCCTGTCTGCTGAGCAAGTCCAATGATAATTCACAATCGGTTGGCAAATTTTATTTCAGTTTGGAGGCGAGGAGAGCCAGAGGAGCATTGGTGACACGCTGCAGGAACGTCTCTGCGACCCGACCCGTACTAATGCAGGATGGAGTAACGTTTCTGGAGTTTCTGTACCTTATCATTCATGGCCAAGATGATCATCAGCTTTCTGAAGATTGTGATAAAATCCAGGAACAAGTCCACACAGTGCCTTAAAGAGCAGAACAGACGAGGTTAGGACTATCTGCCTGGGAGCCGATGGCGACTCTACGTGCATTTGCATGTTATTTGGTTAGGAAAACCAGATTAGGAGGTCCAGGTGAGGCGTGTCGGCAGCAGATAGAAGAACTCACCACACGTAGTCCTTGTCTCCGTTCTCTGCCTTTTCGATGATGAGCTGAGTGTCAAAGAGGACGAAGCCGCACATGACCAACAGACCGAGGTACATGTGCACCTGGCAGGGACAGAAATACACAACAACACCGTTAACTTCCTGGTTCAATAAAATAAATAGATAAAAAGCAAAATGCTGTGGAAAACCTGCTTCTGAAATAAATTAAAAACCACATCCATGACAACACATGCACAGCACTCAAAGTGGTTGCAATTTTCAACGTAACAGAGCAATTAATACATTAGACACCGATGGAAGCAATGTACCGTGAAATCATAAAACCATAAAGTGGAATGAATTACAGTCTACAGTCTAAACATATAATACATCCAGGATTCAGAATGTTGTGTTTTTATGAGCAGAGATGATACTACAAGTGTTTTATTTTTATTTACAGGTGACCTACTTTGCTTCTTTTGAAAGATTGGGATACGTCTATGGGCTACAAAATATATTCTTTAAATTTTTTCCACCAAATCATTGTCAGATATTGAGATTTTAGTCAGAAGGAGACGTTTAGGGCCTCCTGTCACTTTAACTTCAAATAAGCTGCTGCTTTCCAGACACCAAAAATCATTAACTTACTGCCAAAGAAACGACTGAATGTTTTTTTATTGTTTGTTTTTAAACGCTTTGGCTGTTTTTAGAAGCAGTTGAAACACACACAGAAATACAAAAAGGTGCAAAATGTAAATTTTGTACAATAAATCCAATTTAAGAAATCAATTTTGGTTGAATTGAAAAGGTTTGACAGCCCAGATTTAGAAATACTGGCATATTTTTTAAAACTCTCACTTGAAATTGTTTTAGCAATCCTAGCTGGTGCATCTCTATTTGTAATTATCTGATGATAACGCTTCCAATAATAACTGAAAATCACAGAAAGGGAAGAAAGACACAACGATTTTCTTTTGTCTGGATGTTTTCCACAACGTTATCAGACACAAGTCATTCAGCAGTTATGCTCAGCATGGGTTTATATGCAAACATGAATGTGAACAGTAATAACATCCGCCGTCAAAGAGGGTGAAAATAAAGAAGTTAGGGTAGAAAAATGTCTGCATGTTTCAAGACTTACCTTGAACAACATCATAGACCCGAAGAAGATGTTCATCAGAGACATGAGGAAGAGGATGGAGAGGCCGGACATCAGAGTGCCTGAGAGCACAGGAAGTGGATTCAGGGTTAGGTTATAATATTCAACTAAAACAATATGGCTTCCAGCAGAGGGGTCCTTACCTCCCAGGAACAGGTAGCTCCTGCGTTTTGCATAGAGCGCGCTCAGAGTGAAGCAGATGAAAATCACTGAGGTTCCCAGGAAGGCTGTCATGATGATGCTGGAAGGAAACCAACCAGAGCGAGGAGTAAATCCAGCTGCCCAAAGCTCTGGAGGCTAACGGCTAAAGCTTGTTTAGATAATAAGCACACATTAATCTTTCACGTACCTCGGGTTGACCGTGATGACAAAGTCCAGTGTGGGGCCAAGGCCGACGCCTGGAGAGGGAGAGAGGAGCGTAAACACCAGCATGAACCTTCGCATGATTACAGACCAACTTCCAAACGTACAAATTTAGACTGGAAATAAATCAGTTTACCTGTGAGGAAGGCAAATCCAGCAAGGATTCCCAGTCTCTTCTTCTCTGTCTCAGGGTTGTGGGGTGTCATGGCGAGCCAGAACATCATGGCCAACGAGCCGATCACAGACAACACGCCGCCCTGGAGGGACGGCACACAGCAAAGTCATCTCACAGCCACGACGTTTGGTTGCAAACGTTTATTTTAAGTGTGTTTGAGTTCCTTTTATCAACTCTGAAAACAGTTTTAACATTAAAAACAATTCAAACACAGTTTAGAGACTTTTAGGATAGAAATCTGAAGACTGTGTGTGTACTGGAAGAAACTGAAATAAAATGATGCAGTATGAGGTCATATATTCACTAACTTCCTGTTTAGAGATATTAGAGATTTTTTTTAAACATGTACACCTCAAAGGTATCTGAATGAGCTTTAAAGCAACATTTTAAGTTTAGCGTATGCAAAACGCTCTTATTGTGAAGGTTAGAAGGAAGTTGTGTCTCAGTTTTTCATTTGTGCTGAATCGTTTAACAATGTGTGACAGCTGACCTTACTGTCACACAGACCTGAATGGTAATCGAACCCTCACATATGTAACAAAAAAGATCATAAGACTGCTGGACACAGAAAGCCTCTTTATTATGGCCATTTTCTTAAGCATAAGCAAACCATTAACAATAATAAACCTGACCACTTGATGACAAGTTAACAGAAAAAATAATCCATCTAATAGTTCATCAGGTAAAAGGAAGTGAGATAAATGGCAGAACAACAAAATATTCTGCACCATCTCCAGCACAGTTTGCAACCAGAACACAAAACAACATTTAACAAATGTCCACACAAAACATGGCTGCACAGATGGCTCACTGAAATCATGCTGGGGCAGTTTATGTGATTAGATCACAAAGAAACGGAAGTTAAATCCGATATAAGGATTTGGACAAGAAAAGCTTCATCTTTACATGTTTTAACAAGACGTCTTAAAAGAGCTGATGAACAGAGCATGCGGCCTCTTCGGTTTGCTTTCACTTTCTCTGAAAGGTTAAAATCATCAAATGGAAACCGCATAGCGAAAGAATTTAAAACATCCACTCCCAAACTGGTCTTTCGCTGCCGGGACAGACTTCATTAGACCTCAGAGTGTTTAATTCTGGCGCTGATCCGTCAGATGCAGAGGAAGTTCTGTGAACCGGTACCGTCACGTTTTAAACCAATCCAAGTCTACCTTCAGACAGCAGGCTGCCCAAGCGCCTGACATGATACATTTTTCTGGACTATAAATTGTAAAAGTAATAATTAGGATTAGCTAAAATATTGTTGTTTTGAGGCCAAATTCAAGTAATATGTTGATAATGGCAAAACGGAAATGATCAAACTCTTTACTTTATCATTACTTATTGCTTACATGTGCAACCCATATCAGAGTTTGAAATGTATGTTGCATGTTATTGGACGTTTACATCATGAGATTATGTGTCGTGATTCTACACCAGAAGAATCTGGACGTAAACAACGCCTGAAGCAGTCAATGCCGACACTTTGAATGGAACTAATCAGTGGAAACTTGATTTAATCAGTATTTAGGGAAAATGTTTGAGCCTTTCATTTTTATTTCTGTAAAAAGTTTGCAGACCAGACTTATCAGTCCAGACCAGCCTCTCCACACACATATCTCGGTGAACCTTGGCTGCCAATAAACGTCTCTCTATGCAACTTGTTTTAAACTCTTTAGATCACTTTTTTGAAAGACCAAACTTCTGCTGAATCACAAAGGACCAACATTTTGTTAATGCTACATCTCATCACATTCGTATTTCATTCAAATCTAACTTATTCCACCTCTGCCAATGTCATTTTAAGGAGTGAAAAAGTTGTTTTTTTGGGTTTGTTTGTTTGTTTGTTTTCTTAAAGCAAATGAAATGTAATTGGTCATAAGACCATGGCAGAGATGTGGTGGTTGGTTCGTAATCTTTGAAAACTTTTGAAAAGTTTTATTTCGACAGAATTAGCTCAAATTTGTCTGCTTCTGCTTAGCTTCACCATTTAAAAGCTCAACCTACTCCTGTTGCATTTCATTCTGACCTACCTGCAAAAGGCGGGTGACCACGTGAACATATGAGCCGGCTGCGGCCACAAACATACAGACAGCCAAGCTGGAGTACACATTCTTCAGGTGCACCTGGGTGGAATGAGATCTGCAGAGAAGATTCCAGCAAAAGACGCATGAGAGATGGCGACATGAGTTAAAGCGTCTGAGTGTCACACACTGAATCGAAAGCAAGCTTACATACATTTGGGAGAACCTGAAGATGGCATCAATATTGATGTTGCGGTCAAACACGTTCATGATGGTATCAGGTATTCAGGATCTTAAGAGTGTTTTGATCCAACAATGCCTCCTGTGAAATGAAATTAAATTACTGCTTCATTTTATTGACCTTTGATTTTTATTGTATGGTCATAAAACACTGGTTTGTGTAAGACAGCACAGATTCAACGATAGTTAAGGACAAGGATTTGCTAACAATTCATTTTGCTGCACATAAATGTTTGCACCTTTTAAAATAAATAATTTCCAGCAAAGATAAACAAATAATAGGACTGTCAAATAATTTAGCTTTGTGAGAGATTGGTTAGTATGATGTGTTTTAATAAAATATAAATTAAAATAAATACTAATTTTCCTCACTACTTCTCATCACAGCTTTTAGCCTGTTTTGAGATCTTTAAAAATGTAAGTAAGCTTTGTTATCAATCCAACAGGCTGAATGCAATTTAGCATGCTAAGTGTGAACTTACAATTAATGTATCAGCAAACAATAACTGCATTTAAAACAGTCATTTGAAATATTAATATGAACATTACACTAAGGAAAAGTGTGATTTGACAGAAATCAGCTCCTTTGATGCTGTAACCTTTCAAACATGTAATATGTATATATATATTCGATCATGGGGCTTTCCAGAAATTTTTATTCTAAATCAAAATTAATTGTGTTGACATACATAATCAATAGCTAATATATCTATTACAATAGGCGTTAATAAATATCAAATTCAATAGATAATGTCAACAACAGTTGGATTTCCCTTTTTAGTTTTTCCACTAGTCTGAGTACAAATAGATTTCTGGTAATTATTTCTTGTTCTAGATATTTAAACCATTTTTAAAATAGTTTAAAATATTAAAATTGTAGATATTTAAATAATTTTCAGTTAAAATTTAACACCCAATAATACAATACAAACTCAGTGATATTTTCTCAATAAAAACAACTATTATTTTAAATAGTCTACATTTAGAATCAATCACCGTCTGGTACTCCATTAAAACAAATTACGACAATATAATTGCGTAATTTAAACAAGACGTTAAACCACTGGTTAACATCAAATGTCAACGGCTAACTAGCACATATACAAATACACCGAGCAAATAAAAGCTGTGTAAACAGACGCTAGAGTTCAATTTTGCCGTTCAAATTTAAAGGTAGCCCAAAAGTTTATTTATAAATACAGACAAAAAAAGCGCTACGTGGTTATGAATAGCTGTTGTAAAGTCAGCGTTAACTAACGTCGGTAGCCTAGCCCAGCTCGCTAGTTAGCTACCTAGCTAACGGTTGCTAAATCTGTCAACACAACTCGACGTCTTCGGTATTTTTCAACAGGAAGCTGCTGCTATAACCAGTGGCGATTTTACAGCTAGCATTAAAATACACACATACAAAAAAATACATTGGGGCAACACACCTACTGGGCTCTGCCTTCCGAAATGTTCGGGATCTTTCCTGGATCGTTCGCTGCTACAGTTTCTTAACAAACCAGTACGTGTCAGTCAGATCGAGTCAGTCTGCTGATGTCACCATGGAAACACCCAGAAGACTTCATTACACCGAAGTCGGCACTCGAATTGTAGCTTCAGTAAACGGCGGGTTCACCTATGATCAGTTCAGCAACTAAAGTGATTAGATTGATCAAACCATAGGTGAACTATTCCATATTGATTGTGACTTCTTTAGAAACAGGTAGTAATAAATAAAACCTGGAATTTATTTGTGGAAAAACAACAACAACAACAAAAAATCTTAATTGGGGTTTCTGTATCCAAAAGTTGTAATTAAGTAAGAGCAGTATGTATTTTATGTATTTTATTTCCAGTAAAGGTTAAACATAGCAGGCTAAGAAATTACTCAAAACATATTTGGTAAAAAGGCTACTTTTAATTACTTTTCCAATAATGGATCACAACATCTGACTTAATATTTTGTAATGATGCCATCAGACAGAAAAAATACATAATCTGAACTGGAAATGATCCGCATCAATGAGCAGCCATCTTAGTAGGCAATTGCTGTATGACATAATGTCCAAAGCTTGACATGCTAAAGACCAAAATGAGAAACGTACAAGTAAATAACATTATCACAAAAAACTAACTAAGGCAGAAGAAACACATTTCTAATCTTTTTCAATGTAAAACTTTTTAAACTAAGGCTTATTTGTAATGTAAGTACTTTTTAGTGATAATGTATAGTGTTCACTTGTTCACTGTATCTTTTGACCTACTAAAGGAACAACAAGCTTGACAGATGGAAGAAGTATATCACTTAACACAAAATGATTAGATTTGTATCATTTGATACAAATCTTTTCATTCAGTTACTGCAAGTAACTTCACAGTATGCAGAAACTTTAGTCAAGTAAGAGTAGCAATACTTTCTAAAAACATTACTCATGTAAATGTATAAAGTACGATATGGTAAAACAACATCTATAAGTTTTTTTTTTTTCTTTTCCAAAAAGTTACTCAAATAAATATGATTGAATGAGGCTATACCCAAAATGGCATTAAAACTCTGCAATGGCCCTTTAATGAAGCTCCGAATCGGACGTCAACTTCATCCCCGTACAGCTGCAGTGACGTTCGCATTTCGGCGACGTTGTTGCGTTTGGTAAATAAATAATCCGCTTTGTTTTATGTGAACACTGCCTGTGAAAACAAATGTGTAATTTTATAACAGAGACGCTGCTCATTGACGAATCTATTTGCCACTTCCTGATGCGTTAACTGGGAAACGTTCACCTAAAATGGCCGTCATGTAATGAGTCGCTTCTTTGTAACCAGAGACTGCGAAACGACGTCATTGCTTGATTACTTGACTTAATGTTAAGTCTAATTTTAGTTTTTAGTTTGAACGTGAATTAAATATCAGAGGGCTCATATTAATGATTAGTTTGGTCACATAGAAATAAGTTAGAGCTATTTATGAATGCACCTAACAGTTCAGTATGTTTCATTATGACGAGCATGTAAAAATGTTTATCACTTTCGTTTTGAATAAATTTTGCCTACGTTGAGATAAATACTCAGTCCTATAACTGTCTTTTTACCGATACATACTTCAGAATTTAGTTGTTACCCCTAATGTGATTGAACCCAAAATTATCCGTGGAAGTTTTGGTAATTATTTATTTCTCATTTGAAAACATTATTGACAAAGAAAAAAAAAGTAAGGTTAGATAATTTTTAAAAATGTTTTTAAGTAAAAATTGTTAAATTTAATTACAAGAAGACATTTTTGTGATTCCAAAAAGCTGAGTAAAAATGTCCATCCAGGTTATTTTCTTTGCATGTTTCAAAACAGTCAATGTGAATTTGTAGTGTTATAAGATAATAATAATAATAATAATAATAATACAAAAAAAGAATAAAATGAGCCATTGTATCCTAGGAATTTTTTTGCTGCATTTTAAATATGAAACACAAATCAAACCTGACTGAAAAAAAAATTAAAATAAAAAGCTATCTCCCTTTATTTATCTATTTTCTTATTACTAGTTTGTTTAAAAAATATACATATTTACCAGAATAGACCAGTAATGATAATTGATTTTTTTTCATAAAATTCAAAATATTAAACTGAAATATAACCCATATTTCTATGTTCTATGTTTAAAATATTAAAAACATAGAATCCCCAGCAAAAAAAAAGAAAGACAATTTATTTTATTATTACTTCTAGTCAACCTTAGTAAGAGCTTTTTATTTTGTATGCCTTAAAGATATATATTGTATATAGTCTGTTGTCTTTTAATGTACAAATTTACAAGTACATTTGGTTAGAACAAGTTAAGGTACGAAAAATGTTAAAATATAATAAATTGGACTGGTTTTCATATCTTTTTGCTAGAGATTTAATTTTTTAAAACTAATTTAAATACACAAAATAAAATAAAAGTATTTTAAAACAGATCATCATAAAACAGGCGATATTTCCATTGAATGCTTTATATTTTACCAACGTCTTATTCTTTATTATTGATTTCTGGCAAATCTATTCACCAAAACATGCATTAACTGTAAGATGGATGTAAATATTTATAGATGTAGCTTAAATGAAAAATGAAAGGACACATACAGTACCAAGAATATAAAATATAACTAAATTTTATTGTAAAACCAAAGTTGGTAGCACCTTTTTCTTTTTCTTTTGTTTTTAGAGTTTTGGTCAGATCAGGTATAAAAAGTTTCTTTTATTTGTATTTTTTGCAACACACAAAAGAATCGAGACTTCTTCAAATACTTTTGGTCATTACAACATACATTTTCATTTTCATATTTGACTCATCAACATGCAGGCAAGAATTGCATCAAACAAACATCGTAAAAACCATCCTACCAAAGAAAACCTCATGAAATACGACATGAATAGAAAACATGATGTAAGCACAGATTCACGCTTGTTCTGTAAATTATATTTGAACAGGTTGAAGATCATTCCATCAGCAAAAGGTGTTATATAGGCACAGATAAACAGCAAAACACAAGGCCAGCCTCAGTACAGGCAAAATGGATCACAATATAAAATGTTGCGCATTAAGAAGTTCTGGACAATTACAACTTTATTTTGGCCAATAAATATATATAGAAAAAACACTTAGCAATTTCAAAATATCAAATTTGATAGCTTCAAGTGTTGCACTGTAAGTACCAGAGCTGCTGGCATCCCCACCTGTTTGCTCCTGACTGATTTTTCTCACGCTCAGCATGACACCAGGGAGTGTGCAGGCCTCCAAAATCTCTGTTCAGGCGTTTCTCTGTCCCTCTGTTTCCAAAAGGCACAGTTTTTACTTTCAGCACTGTCAATATAAAACAAGTGCAAGCTGTTTGTCGTTTGGAAAGAAAGAAAAACACAGTAACAAATGAAGTATTGTCTGAAAACTCTTAACGTTTACGTTCATCCTATGTGCCAGCTTATCCAGTGTAACTGTTTACATCGGCCCGTTTATTCAACCATATCAATCTGAACGTCGATTATTTATATTGCATGTTTGGGAAAAAAAAGTTTGTTTACAGCACAAATGAGTAGAATCCACTTTGATTTGATGTAAATAAGCATACAGCAACATTTACAGTTCCATAAAAAGTATTTGCCCCCTTAAAGACTTCTCCAGTTTTTGCTTCTTCATCTCAGACCTTCACCCTCTGTTGAAACAACAGGAATAATCAGCAATCATTCAATAATCAATATCTTAATGAAGCTAACACTTGGGAGACTCCATCAGAAGTGTAAGCATCACAGTACCTGTTATAGTTTAGAAGGCTGGAATATTAAATAATTTGTATCTTTTACATTATATTGCATAGAAACCTTTGAAAAATATAAATAAGGCTATAGACTTCTGAAAATCATAGATCCACCTGTGCAAAGACTGATGTAACTCAGGTAAACTAAAATAAGTTTACAGAAGTTTTAGTGAAATAATAGCTGCAAAACTGGGGATTTTGCATGTCTAAAATCGTTTATCATTTTTTTCCTCCCCCAGTTGTAGTAAAACAATAAGAAATTGTAATATCTGACTCCACTTAAAGGGTATTTTATGGAAATCCTGTGTAAAAAAATTAAAAATGACAAGAAATTTAGGCACATTTTACTGAAAAAAAAAAAAAAATCACAAAAATTTATACTTTTTTGACACTACCAGAACTCCATACAATGTCTTTCTGATGAAGGTTCCTGATCACTGACATTTGTCTTGGGTATAAACTAAAATGCTTTTTATCAGCTTCTAGTCAAGAGTCTGACGTTGCTATGGATACCAAATATGTCTGTTTAACAAAGGGAGTGTGCAGTAATGAATGTAGGGAAACTCATTAAGTTAAAATAAAGCGTTTTAATAACTGGCAGTGATTATATTTTATTTTTTTACAGTGGAAAACGGTTGGCCCAGGCAACATTTGGCTTGACGATCCAGGCTATCCAGGTCATATTTCTGACCCATGTTTTCTTCATCTATGGATATCGTCCTTCAGCCTCAAGCCGTTTTAACTCCTCAGAGTCTGGTAGACTCGGTTCAACTGGGGACCAAAATTGCAACATAGCGCGTTTGTTTTGGTTGTATTTACCTAGAATGGCCTGCGCTTTAGCCCGTTTCCCATTTCTGGAGCGACCTCCAGTCCAGAGTTCACTTCAACCCAGAGGTTTTTCAGAGTTCGCTTTCGCATTTCCCCAAACGAACCAAACTTTCTAGGCTAACAAACTAGAGTTTGATTAAAGCATGCATCTTTAAAAAAGGCATTGTAACCTTTTCCAAACCGATAGGTCTTAGGGATTGTTTATGTTTAAGGTTAATGTGTGATCTTTTGACCTGCTTCATGTTGTCAGACAAGTACTATTTAAATTCCTCGATTCTAAAAAGTATTGCCAGTGAAATTAAACCTTAAAAATATGATTAATCACAGATTATTTCATTTATATTGGACCAAATGAATTTGGAAAGTTTTTTTCCCCTCAATAATTATTATAAAAAAATAGTTTTCGTCTAATAATAAAGTTTTTTTGATGATCTGAAACATTTAAGAAGAAAAGCAGAGGAAATCTGTAAAGGGGGCTAAGACTTTTTCACAGAACTGCACATCTGTCGACCGCAGGAGGTACACCATGTTACTACCGAACTGGGTTGCATAGAGAAACAATGTTCACCATTTAAAAATAGATTTCCTTATATAAAAAAAGGAATCTATAAATGTATAAAAATCTGGTGGATTTAAAAAACTTTTTTTTTCACTCTTGTTCCTTAAAAGGCACAATAAAGCAAACCATATCCAAAAGTCCAGTGAGGGCAGGCAGACGTCTGCTTTGGCAAAAGATCCACTTTCATATTTAAACCAGCTGGAGTGATTGTAATGGGATGGCTTTGGTTAATTCCCAGTCTTTTCTTGTAGTGCTTATATAAAAAAACAAAAAATAAAAAAAGAACAGAAGTGGTTGTCATGATCGCCAGGTTTGGGCTAGATCCCCAAACCAGCTGCACGTGAGTGCGAAGGTAAAACGCGGCAGCGTCTTTTTCTGGGCGAATGCAGACTAATGAGGAGCAGAACTACTGTTCCCGGAGCTGGTCCAGCCGGGTGTAAACGTTTTCGGCCTTACTGAGCTCCTCGAACACGGGCAGCAGGTTGAGCAGCTCGGCGTCGTCTGCGTCGTCAAACCATGACACCACGGGAATCTGGAGGACAAAAAGAAAACAGATCGTTAACAGAGATGAGAAAGTCCTGAATGAAATAAAATTACAAATGACAGAAAATATTTTTAAAAACTGGCATCTACGTAAATAATTCCTTCTCAGAAACGGTTTTGTTGTCTTACAATCCAGAAACCATGTGCTGCATTCTTATTGGTTGTGCACGAGGCTCTACTTCTGCTTTTCAAAGATGTACGGTTGTATGATTGCACGTCTGTTTGCAGCCATTTTCTCATAAGAGTGTAAATGATGAGTTTCTTAGGCGTGGCCAGCAGCAGGTTAATTAGATTTAAAGGGACAAGATGCCCTAAAACAGTTCATTCCGAACTGAGAAGACTAAAATTTCATTATCTGAGAACGATTTGGTGCAAAAAACGTAATGAACATGTTTTGTATCGCTGATAAACTTATCCTAACCTGTTCAAGGAAGCATAATAGGTCACCTTTAAGCAATATCACCCACAATTAAAAAAAAAAAATGGGTCGGGAAGCGGGAAAAGGAGGCAGGCGTTGACTCACAGCATTATTAGGGTGGAAGATGTATGAAGCAGGGGAGTTATCCAGGATGAGGGTCCTGTTCAGGTCCCTCCCCAGGCGGCTCAGGTCTTTCACATAGCAGCCCTGGTGGAACACGCAGGATTCCCGGAACAGTCGGGTCCGAAACACGCCGCCCTGATCCAGCAGGTCCGTCACTGGGTCCGCATACTAGAGGAGGAGGGAGAAGAGCGGGGACGTGCGAGGACACACTAATGAAGAACTGTCTATGGATTGTTAGAGCTGTGTATGTGTTCAGGGCGTCTAATAATAAGGTCAGGCAGCTCTAAAAAAACAGGAACTAAAGGCGAGAGAAAGCAGAACAACATCTGACAGATCAGGGCTTAAATCAGCCACGCAACACTTCAACTTGCTGACACACAATAAAAAATAAAGATGGAGTTCAGGATCTGTTTTTGTACCTTAGCAAGACTGGCTGTAAACAGCACACATTCAAACATTTCTCCCATTCTCCGCAGGAACTCATCCACGTACGGCCTCTTCAGGACATACACCTGGAGAGGCACACAGGCTGTAAGCAAAACAGGTTCACGTTCATGCACACCCCCCCATCCGAATCATACATCAGCTGCTCATGACCGCTTCCTGAAACAAGTAATCAAGAATAGGCCGCGCCAGCGTGAACCAGCCTATCCTGGATTACTTGAACCAGGCGGAGGCCCACTGGGGGAATCCTTACCAGCACATCAAGTCCAAAGGAATCACATTTCTGACTTAATCACATTTACACATGCTCATATACAGGCTGGGGTGCTCAGCTCTAAACCAGGGGCGCCCAAACTTTCAGTCACGTGGGTCAAAATCGCCAAGTCAAAACTAAAAATCAAACAAATAAAGTCATTGTATGTTTTCAGTTTTGTAATAAGGAATATTTGGAACTAACAATTATTTAGTTATCGATTAATTTATTATTCTCATGATTAATCAATTAATAGGATAAAAAATCGTCGCGTTTACTGATATTTAATTTAAGTCTTTCTATGCAATATTAAAAAACATTGCAAGATGCAAATATACAAATAATTAAATTCATTTTTTTAAATAAAAAAATTAACATTTCATTGCATAAAATGCAATAACATAACATTCCCTTAGTGCATGCTGCAGCTAAAGTAATATTTCTAACATCAACATGTGAAAGGTTCAGGTTTTTCTGCTGAACTTTTCATCAACATAGTGTAGGGCTGATCTGTGTTTTTATTATTAACCAATTAATAATAACTGGATAACAAAAGGGGCTTAAGATTTGTTTTTACAGAACATGAACTAGCTGAAGAATAAACAATGTCACTTCCGGAGTTTTGGGTACATTTTACAAATGGAGAATTTTTTTTTATTATTTTAAATCCAACATTTATGTTTTTGTACAGTTTTGGCTTAATTACTGCTCTCAATATGTTGATTCTTCAGAAAAATTGCCTTTTTTGAGTGCATATAATCCAATTAACAATGAGTCCATTACTAAATTGGTTGATGATTACTTTAATAAATGATTAATCATTAAGCTGATTAATCACAATTAGTCTGATTGATTAATCATTTCAACTCTTTTCTACTTATTATGAAAGTTTGGTTGTAAACAGACAAATACTTTATGTTGTACTTAACATTTTCCATCGCAAGAAAATTATGTCAATAAAAATGTTTGCCTGATTAAATATACATTTGTGTCATCCTCAAACTGGGACACTTTGGACACCCCAAACTTTAAACATATTTTATTTTCTCTTCTAAAATAAAATATGTTTAAAGTAGTAACATTTAAAAAGCAGTAACATTTCCTGTGCATGTCAATAAAAACTGTTTTCCTTTGATTCCACTTTCTGTTCAACATCTGGCCAGCAGGGGGATCCGTGGCCACGTCTCTGTGTGAAAACCTAAAGGACGGGCTCCACCCCACTCGCCCTCAGCAAACATGGCCGTTTACCTGGTGTGTGGTCCCCTCTATCTCCACCGGCACGATGAAGTCTGCATTGTTAATAGGCTGGAGGGGAGAAGACAGAGGGAGAGAGGGGAGGGTTGGCTCGCTGCGTACATTCACATGGCATTACATAACAACCAGGCAGCGAGTCGCTCTACAACCGCCCTGCAGGAAGCAGGGTTGGAGGTTCCAAAAATCACTGCTTTTTATGAAGAAAAATGCATCCAAAATGCAAATATATATATATATATGAAAAGAAAACCAGAGGCAGATGTACCTTGAAGGAGCTGTGCACCAGGGTCTCATCCAGGTCTATGACCACGCAGACCTTCCCTTGGTCCTCGGCATTCAGCTCAGGCAGGAGGCTAACTTCTGATGGCTGAGGAGAAACATCAACACTTTTATAACAGCACAACTCGTCCCTACCAGGCAGAGATTTCTCTGGAAATCAATCCCGACTCATTCGATGTTCTCTCTTTGGGGAAAATGAGATTAGATGAGTTCAGTTTCAGGAGAACAGGGAGGATTATCTCCTTTAGCTGCAGCTCAGGAGCATCTTTACATGTTTTTAGTTGATTTTCTAAGAGGGAAACAATAGTGTCATTTTTTAAGATCTCCATCTTTCCACGCAGATGGGGTTTAATAATTAATTTATTATATAACAGGAATGGCTCATCCATTAGGAAAGGAAAATCAAGTTAGAGAAAGACTCTTTTTGTGAGCCTGTAAAAAGCAAAGTAACACCCAAGCAGGGACTGGTTTTTATTACCAAACGTGATGCTAAACGTTGCAGAATCACTCTGACGAGCTGATTTCAGCATTCATTTCTTTTAAAGCAAAGTAAAGCTGCACTGAACTGCAACATGAAAATCTGCAGGATCGCTTGGTATTTGGTAGCAGGGCTGCAGATAACGATTATTTTAGTAATCAATTACTCTACTGGTTAATCAAATAAAAGTTTATTTAAGTTAATTATGTATTCCTTTTAAAAAAAACTATATTAAGATTCAAATAAACAAATTATTCAGTTGTTTTGTTATTAAATTAAAAAATAAACATTTTATTGCCTAAAACGCAGTAACAGCATTCCTTTACTGAACTATTGATTATTTGTAGCAAAGACTGCATCTGCAGCTAAAAAATATTTCCAACATCAATATTTATGCTTGACTTAACATCAACACATTGCAGGATTAAAACACTGATTATTTTTTGGATAAACAAATTAACTATATAAAAAAGATGCTTAATTGGAGATTTTCTTCACAGAATTTGAAACAGGCAAAACTAAAACTGCTACTTGAAAAGTTCTGGGTAAGACATATTTATGACAAAGAAATGTTTTTTTTTATCTTAAATGCAAAATGTTTATATTTTTGTACAGTTGTGCCTTATTTAACCCTCTGATTAAGTTTTTTTTTTTTAGAATATTATCTTTTTTTAAGTCAAATTCCAGTTAATGATTAATCGCTTACTAAAATTAGTTGATGATTTTTTCAATAATCGATTAATCCGATTAATCATTTCCATCATGTTATGCATTTATGCTTTTAGGACAGTTGGGGGGACTTTTACAGTCCTAGATGTCCATATCTGGTGCAGATTTTGTAGCAAAGATGATAAAATATGTGCAAAATATCACAAAACAAAATGAGGATGAAAAAGAGTGAAACAGAAAAGAACATTTAAAGAATCAGCACTTGGCCACCATCTATTACATATACTGAAATGAATCCTAAACAAGCCTGATGTGAAGATTTCTATATCCATGTTACCTTGACAACCGTCCCATTTTCCTGCGACTCCAGCAGGGCATGCTGGGAAGGCGGCGGCAGTGGCGGCTGAGGCGGTTTGGGGCCATCCTGGACTTTGAGGCAGCAGAAGAGGGCTTTGAAGATGTTACAACTCCGAGGCTGTTTCAGGGCAGAGCGGCTCACCTGGCCTGAAGGGGCGAGCGAGAGAAAGAGGGAGAGGGGAAAATCTTAAGTGGGGCCTCAGCTTTTAATCCCACAACTCCCATAAGCTAACTAAAAAAAAAAAGCTTAAATAAACAAAAAAACAGTGCTTAATGTAGTGTAATGAGATGCAATTTGCCTGCAAAATCTACTCTGAACTTCCCATTTTCCTGAAGGCATCGTCCATCTGTCGACATGCATGGCAGAGACCCATGCACAGAAATCTATTTCTAATGCGCCTGCCGCTGCTGCTTCTGCTGGAAATGGCTGGTACAGGTTACATAATCGCAGAGGGCGGGAAAACCCACACTTTTCAGCGGAAAACACAGACAGAAAACATTCCAGCTGTTTTAAACTCCCAGGGCCCTTTTCGGACAGAAACAGCGAGCCGGACCGGACCACACAGACAACCGCGGCTCGCCTTTGATCAGACCCGAAGCTCCATGCAACACCTGTGCTGCAGACAAAGAAAAGGGGAGGAAGGCATTCTTGCGAGTCCCCCCCCCCATACCCCCGTACCTCCCTCTGGTGCATTTCGTGTGAGGACTTGCACAGAAACGCAACGAGAGTTTAAAACCCATCAATATTGTGTGATCGCTGGAATAAACGTGCAAAGGAGGAGGGAGAGTGGAGAAAACCGAGATGCACCAATTAGGCTTTCACTGGCAGAAACCGATTTTTGCTTCTCTTTACAATCTTTTCACATAAAAAAGAACAAAAAGTTGTGAATCAAGCTGAAAACTGCATCATTGTATAAATTAGGACACATTTCTATAAGTGCAAAACTCATAGGAGAGCTTCATTTTTCTGCATTTAATGAAAACAAAATCAGAGCTGAGAAAAGAAAAATAGTCAGATTGCATGTCAAAAATGCATCTGATTGTTGTTAAACTAAAAGAAAAAGTGCATCAAAGTGTGTTTACAGTTAATGCTTTTAGAAACTTGAAAATGAGATTTTTCAGTATTTAATCATCCAACCAGCAGCCTGCACCCGGATCGGCGCTGCTCTAAACGCGTAATGCAAACACGGCAACAACCCTGTTACACAACGCTGTGTTGAGACAAAGCACGCTGCAACTCAATACAGTTACTGCAGATAGGCATGCGACCTTTTTCCCTTTATAGACGACGTTATGGTTAAAGATTTAACACACACATTTGGCATTTAAATCAGTCTTTTGGTTTCCAGGGAAAAGATACGTATGACATAACACAGAAAAACTCCCCTTCATGTGAAAAGGATGGGAAGATTAATCTCTCAGAGGTTTATCAGTGACAGACAGATGGATCCAAAAAAAATGCAAAATATCACCCAAGCCCACACAATCAAAAAAAAAAAAAAAAAAGATACAAGCCAAAGAATCTGACACTCTAAGGCTGGATTATCTTCTATGGATAAAACATGAAACAAGAGGCCGAATTAGTGAAGCAAAGCCTCTTTCAATCCTGAGCAAAGTGTGCAAACAACCAAATGTTTCAGAGCGGTGCTACAATGGGCGTGTAAAGGACAGGGAGTGTTTGTGCATTCCGCTGTCAGCGCCGCCGCACCTGATTGTTCCTTATTGCGACCAGCAAACATCCCAGCGTTCATGCGCGGCAGGATGCACGCCCAGTTCCTGCTCCGAAAAAAACCCCTAAAGCGGCGCCGCGATCGGCTGCAGCCAGAGGCGCATATGATGCTTCTGGCGTCCAGAGGACAGAAACAGCGCTGTGCCTGCTGCTGGCAGGGCGCGGGACGGTGCCAAACCAGCCGGAAACAGAAGCAAAGCACATCCGAGAGAAAATTCCTAATTCAGCAGGTTTATCCTGATGTCAATCGATGAAAGAAAACACATAAAAACTAAAAATGTACTCAGTTTTTAAACAGTTAGCCAAACTCAGAAATGTACCATCAAAGCCAAAAGCAACAACAGAGTTTTTGGAGTTTTGTTTTTGAACTTTTCTACATTTTCAAAATGCTGTAAATTAATATTTTTAATTACAAAGATACAAAAAAAAAATCAGCTAAAAACACGCTAAAAACATAGTGTTCATGATTTCAAAATGGCGTTTGACATCATCTGAGGGCAAAGTCAGGACATATATTAACAGAAATTCAAAAAAAAAATTATTTTGTACTATTATAAAGTTAATTACATTATACTAATTATTATATATGATAAGTTACAATTTCAAAACATTTTCACCATTTAAAATACTTTAAATGAGGAGAAACAATGTACACTGACACGTTAAGGAACACAGTAAAGTCTGTACACTAGCTGTTGCTGCACACTGCACGTCAGCTGGCTGAAAACAAAAACAATCCAGACTATTTTTTAATATATTTCTGGTAGCTAGTTGGTAACAATTGTCATTTTTCCCTTTTAAGTAAAAATAAATGCATATTTATGGGTCAATTTGCTGCTTTACAATGTAAATATTTGCCAAATATTACATACATTTCCACTGATTTTACATGTGTGAACTTGCCTAATTAAGCCCATGGAAAATTCAGTTTCTATTAGAAATTAGGAATATATATATATATATATATATATATATATATATATATATATATATATATATATATATATATATATATATATTATTTTTTTTTTAACTCAGCCACAGAAATTAATTATGTTTACTTTGAATTTCTCTGTGTAGAATATTCTTTTTTTTTAATGGTTTAAATTTCCAACACTGAAGTAATAAATCTGAGACACTGATTGCAAGAATGATTAGCACATGTAAAGTAATTGTATTTATCCTAATAATAATTAAAGAAAAATAGAATAATCGGAGGTGTCTTCAGTGGGCTGGACTATAGAGGTAGTGGGTGTGTCTCACATTTTGCACATCGTGTTCCTTCCTATAAACACACGAACACACATATATACAGTTTTTTAAGAATAGTATTTACTTTATTATACTTGTGTTCTTCTAGGTTTTAATTAGGCTACATAAGCTGTTACTATTTATTCTGACTGTTTATTGTTATTACTCATTTGTGTACATTTTTGTCACACCTGATAATGTGCTTTTTAAGATTATAACAACTTAAAACAAGATGGCTAGATGCATACAATATGTTATTTTTATCTATTTGGTTTATTTTCTTAGAGTTCATACATTTTGTTTTCAAAATTTCCATAAAAACAGTTGCAACATCTAGTTTTTAAAAAAAATAATTAAGCCATTAAATGAAATTAGAATTAGCTTCTAAAATGATATAGCTGTTTAAACTTTTAATATACTCACATGATCTAGAGAGAATTGAACTTTCTTCCCTTCCTCTTTCAGGGAAAACAGATTTTTTTTTTATTGCTAACATTCCTAATAAAGGGGCTAAAAGCCCCCTTGGCCCCTCCTTAGTGCCGCTACTGACAATAACGCGAAGAGGAGCCACAGATTTGCACCCACTGCAGAAAGAGACAAACAAGATCAACAATAGCTAAGCCCGGGCTGTAATGGACATCGCGAACTATAAAACACATTTTCTGTGTTGTTATATAAAACTAACGCTGCACGTCTTCATTTGTAATTTGATGCTATTTTCCCCCCTCTTCTTCCTCTCTGGTGATCTCAGAAGGAAAACAGATTTTTTTGGCGCCATATAAAATGAGCAGGATAAGCGTGGGTATTCCACAGTGATCACTTAAGACCTGCGTGGAGTGGAGTGGAAGAGGAGAGGGGGGGAAATGCCAAAACAAGGCAGCGCGCCTTTCAGACCGCAGCCCTCAACTGTCAAATAAAAACAGGCGCTCTTCTTACAAGGTTTTATTATTACACATAAACCCAGCTAGCTCGGGGCCCCGAGCTGTGGGCATAAACACAGCAGCTGCGGGGGTTTAATGAGCTCACCTGCTTTCGGTGACACTTGGACGTCTTCTTTCTGCACTTGGGTGATAACAGAACTTTCCATCTGACAATCACGGAGCCCTCAAAATCCTCAAATCCTGTCCCCGAGCACTGATGATGGGCGTCCCTCATTGGGGTTTTTTGTTTTTGTTTTGATAAGGCGACTCTAGCAGCAGTATTCACCGAGGTTACCGTCCGTGTGACCCGCCTCAGTTACGGTCCGGATTTATCTCGTCCCTGCCTGGTTTCTTTCTTCTCCACACCGATGCTTCTTGTTCTTCAGTCGGCTGCCTCGGGAGGAAGGAGGAGGCAAGGGGGGCGAGGCACTTGGATATGTTTCCCGGAGGTTATCCGATTCTCTGCCCGCTCCGTCTCCTCGGGTGTACCGCTACTATTTGGTGGTGATAGCCGCCGAGCAGCCCCCCTCCGCCGTCACTTTTGCACCAACAACATGGAGAATCCAGGCGAGAGAAGGAAAACAACCGAGGAAATGGGGCAAGGGAGGTCGGTTTCAAGCCCCCCCTTACTACAGATAAACAACACCGCCCGCACGGCCCGAAGAGCGGCGAAAACCCGCGTCTGTTGCTGCGAAACGTAAAATCCGACACAGAAAAACGGATTCCGGGCGGTAGTTGGCTGTAAAATGCGGGTTTTGATGTTATGCGGGGTTTTGTTTTTCCACGGACCGCACTCATCGGGCGCCTTGAAACCGTCCCCTCTCTCCGATTGGACGATACGGATGGAAGGGGGGGTGGGGAGGGGGCGTGGCTAAGGCATTCCTCCCTGTCCTGCACGCGCCCAGCCGAACACATTCCAGCGCTTCTCGTGCAAATGGGCGCGCGCCTTGTTTATGAAACGTTAGAAAATAAATAAAACACAAATCCACGCAAATAATGCGGGACAAAACCGTTAGAATAAGATCTGTTTTGTTAGTTTAACTGCAAGCTGAATATTTACTACTTCCAAATCAAAACAGTGCAGTGAAAAATAATTTTTCTTCTGTTTTTTCTTATTTCGGGGTCACTCTTAGCTTTTGTAGATAGTCGAAATCATTTAATAATAGACAAAACTCAGCCGAGGAAATACAAAATTCAGAGTTCAAATGATGATTTAATATATTAAGGAGGGGAGAAGAAAGCCAAATCCAAACCTATTTAGAGGTATGGAGAAAAATAATTTCCCCTCTCATTAAACAATAAAATTAACCAATTTTTTTGGAAATCACACTGAGACCTGACAAAATGAAGTAGGCTACAAGATAAACACACCATACCTTCATTTAAGGAAATGTGAACAACAGTGACAGTCACTACACATAGATGAAAAGGAAACATGGAAGAGGGGAAAACCTTTCCAGAAGTGTCCAAAATTATGAAAAGAGCGGATCAACAACTGATATAAGATGTCACAAAAGAACAAACACAACTATAGAACCAAGGGCATCACTTGTATTTATGAACAACTTTGGCCTTTTTGGTTTAACTCAAAACGATTTTGGCCATTTTATGTAGGGTATGGAAGGCTACAAGTGCCACAATCCAATACATTAAAAATAAAATCCAAAGGTGATTGGTCTGCGGTCGAGTTGCTACCCCGGTTAACCAATCAGATTATATGATTTATTTAGTAGATAGATTGATTCAAGTGACTTTTTGGTTCCCCACAGTTCGTGCCACCCTGGGCAGAAACCTCACTTCTTATGGAGTTTGTGGTTGCTCTGTTATTTTGTTTTACATTCTGACCCATTTTGTTTCATCTGAGCTTCACAGTTTGGCCCAGATGTTGTAACTTGGACATAGTTAGGTGTTTTATCAGAACAATGATCCCCCTAACTCACATCAAAACTAGTTTTCAAAGAATTAAAGCAGGCTAGCTTTAAGATTCTTTAATGGTACTGACTTAAACCCTTTTAAAAAAGTATGGAATATGCTTACAATATATGGTCTCAAAGAAAACCAACCACTTTAAATTTTTCTTACAAATGGAGTGGTGAAATGTTAAGTCAAAATTAGGCCAGAATGGACATTTATTCAAAGATTATTGTTGGCGTACACTTAGATTTGAGCCTGAGGCATAATTCAACCAAGAAAGAGCATGTTCAGATAATTTACTGAGTGGATGTAAACTTCTGACCAAACTATCATAAATACAGTATAAGTAATATGAGGCTAAAAAAGGAAAAAAAAAAACAACAATAAATAACAAGCATACACGGCAACATTTTGCAAACACCAAATTTATGCTACTTTTTCAACTTTTTAAACCTCTATAATAAATAACGAAGATCTTAGCAACAGTCTGTTTGTTGATAACTTACACTAGTAACAGATTTCGGAGCACGAGGATCCGTCCAGTTTCTCTTTTTTTCTGTATCCGATTCTGAACCTCCCTGTGAGTGAGGGAGGTTCGGCTCGTGGATGCATCTCGGAGTTGAGCAAGGAAGGTAAGAGAGGGCAGAGTGAAACCAATGACCCCAGGCTCCTTTCATGCTCCTCTCTCTCTCTTTCCTTTATTGACACAATCATAAAATGAAACTGTAACTTGTTTTGCCAAAAAAGAAAAGCAAAAAACAAAAGAAAACAAAAGAGGCTGGAGTGAGTTAGGCTGGAGGGCGTGGGGGTTTATAATGAGGCAATGCATTCCCAAGCATTTGTGCAACAGTGCAGCAGATATCTCAATATGACGATCTCTGCATCATATACAAAAGCAGATGTTTTTTTTTATATACCTATACATTCTTTTTTGTTATTTTCTGAGTGCCAAGCAGAAAAAAACACAACAAATGAGTCAGAAATATATGTTTTCACAAGTATTTTTGGTCCAGTTTTCGTGCAAATATCTTAATACACTTAAAATAAGAGAAAACTAACTTACATGTAACTTCTCAGCAAGATATCTGTGCTTGTTTAAAATAAATAATTCCTTAATGTTGATGAAAAAGTACTAGTTTCATTGGCAGATTATTTCACAAAAACCTAGGAAATATCTTTTTATAAGTAAAATAGTCAATGGAACCAGTACTTTTTCATTAATATGAAGGATTTTTGACTTAAAACAAGCTCATATTTCTTGCTAAAAAGTTATTTATAAGTTAATTTTATTGTATTTCAAGTTTGCAATATAAACTACAGACCAAAACTTTTTGGTAAGATCTGTGTTTTTGCAGTGTTTTAGGGAATGCATTCTCTCCTTTTGTACCTTTAAGCAGACAATTTCTGGAATTTAAAGCATGAAGAGATTTTAAAGATGAAAACAGGGGGAATTAAAGAGTGAAAACTACAGTTTCTGCAGAGTTAAAGTAGTCCACTGAAAGCACGTGTGAGCCCACTACACCACGAGCCCTACCAGTGCCCACAGCGGCCACAAGGCAAGACATAAACAAGACTGGCCCCGCTGTTTGCATTCCTGGTGTTGGACATTTCAAGGCAGCACTGACAGATGTGTGTAAAAATACACACGGCATAAGTACGGACCGCACAGCTGGAAAATGTCAGGCGGTTTAAAGCTGATGCCGCTGTTTACTACTCCGACTTGAAGTGCATTATCTCTGCCTGCTTTTTCTGCCCGAGGCGAGTCGAGGGGAGATGAAGACGGCTGGACGGGGTCAGGCGTTGTGGAAGAGGCCCCCAGGCTGGGGAAGCTGATCAAAACAAGCTACCTCAAACATCACACACCTGTTAAATCCATCCTTCACAACATCATCAGGTAATTAACACACTTTTACATGCTCCTTTTAAACAAACAAGAAAATTAAAACTTCATTTGAAAATATGCATTTTGTACAACAAAATGATATTTGGGGGAGAAAACGTAATAGGAGGACGTGTTGGTTATTTATCTCAAATGGACACAACATAATATGCTAGAATTTTCATATGTAGTCAAAGTACAAATCAATAAATACAATATATTACCATCCATTACAGACAACTTAAAAAGGTAATTCCAGAAAAGGAGAATAATAATAATAATAATGATAAATCAAAAACAGTTTTATCTGAAAGGAGCATATCAAGTTACAAATTTTAAAAGAATGAAAACAAAAGCCATATAGCACAAATATTTACTAAAATACAAACAATACATGAAAAAAACACAATAAAAATAAGAACCACATGATCATTGTCTGGATATTTGATTATCTAGGAGCCATACTTCTAAGGATAGAATAGAGTAGAATAGACTACAAGAATGTACTTTATTGAGCCCAAGGGAAAATTGTTTGTTGACAAAATACTCAGTTCAAGGTGTTAAATGTTAGTACGCCCAAAAAAAAAAAAAAAAAAAAAAAAAAAAAAAAATATATATATATATATATATATATATATATATATATATATATATATATATATATATATATATATATATATATATATATATATATATATATATGTGTG